GCCTCGCCACGTGTCAGACGAAGTCCCAATCCTGCCCCGCCGCCCATCGAGTTGCCTGAGTATTTGATCGGCGAGGGCGAGGAGTTACGAGCTCGCCACCGAGAAGGAAGCGAAAACACAGAACGATAAAAAGCATAAACAACAACAAAAATGCAGGGGGGAAAAAATAATACATATTCCCTTTTCTATATTTTTTACAATCCGGGGGGGTGGGACCCCCCCCCCCCCCGGGAAATCGGACCCCCGGAATCTGGCGCTTTTGGGGCCCCTTGGACGCCTGGCAAGGGGGTCCCCCGAGCCTTCCGGGCCTCCTGGACGCCCCTGGCCGGCCTTCTGCATCTCTGGACGTCCCTAATGTCCTTGCGAAGCCTCTGCAGTGGGCTAGCGGGAAGCTCACAAAACGGCCCCAGAGCCTACAAGACGCTCCAAAAGGCCTTCCAAGACGCTTCCGAAGAGGCCCCAAGAGGCCACAATTGTTGATTCCCCATGGTGTTTTTCGAAGTTTTTGGCTTTCTCGCCTTTTCGGCTTCCCGACGTTCCAAGACGGCCCAAGAGGCTCCCAAGACCGCCGCAACACGGTCCAAGAGGCCCCCTACACAGCCCCAACACGGCCCAAGCGGGCACCGAGACGACCCAAGAAGCGCCCAAGAGGGCAACAAGGCCCCGATAAAGCCTCAAAAAAGGCCCCAGCGGGCGACCAAACATCCCAAGATCTAGCTTTCCGGTCCACGAGAGCCCCAAGAAGGCCTAAGAAAACCCCAAGAGGCGCCCCAACACACCCCCACGAGGCTCCGAGAGGCTCCAATCGGCCCCCAGGAGCCCCAAAAAGACCCCATGAGGCTTCAAATCGACTCCCAAGAGGCTTCACACCAGCTTCCCAGAAAAGCCCGAGAGGCGTACCACGCGATCCCCACAGGCCCCCAAAAGGCTCCCAAGAGATACGCCACACGGCCATGGAAGTCGTCCAAAAAAGCCAATGGAGGCTCGAGGTTCGCAGGGCAAGAGTCGAGAGAGGAAGGCGCAGATCACAGCTCGACACTTCAGGTTATCCTGTGATTTTCTATTATTTCGGGGCCTCCGCTCTCTCGCCGCCACGTTGCAGGGGCCGCTTCAAAATTCAGTTCCAAACGCAATCCTAAATGAGCTCGCCGCACTTCAAGGCCAACATGGATGAGGCGAACAGGCATTTATGCTCGATTCGAAGGACCAAGGTGCATGGCGCGAAGCGCCAATGCAGTCTTGTATATATATATATATATATACAAGTGGCACGTGTGTGCCCAGGCTCATACAAAAAGCTGAAGGGGCGTTTGAAGCAGGAGTGAAATGCAACATCGAAGTCGCACTCGAGCGCAAGTGGGGTTGCCACACCTTGCGATGTGTGTACCAGGACCCCCCAGGAAGCCTCAGGAGGCCCGACTTGGATACCAGAAGAGGCTCCAGGAGGCCCCAGGATTGTGAGTGTTGTGCGTGTGTGTGTGTGATGTATGCTTTGTGTGGTGCGTGTTTTTTGTGTGTTGTAGGTGTTGTGTGTGTGTTATGTTTGTCTAGCGTGTGATGTGTTGGGCGTGAGTTGTGTCTCTGTGTGCATGTAGTTCTGAAGCCCCAGGAGGCCCCAGGAAGCCCCAGGCGGCCTCAGGAGGCCCCAGGAGGCTTCAGGAGGCCCCAAGAGGCTCCAGGAGGCCGCAGGAGGCCTCAGGAGGCCCCAGGAGGTTTCAGGAGACCCCCAGGAGGCTCCGAGGCGGGGTCTGGAGTGCCAGAAGGTTCAGAAAGCCCCATGAGGCCCCAGCAGGTTCCAGGAGGCCCCCAGGAGGCTCCGAGGCGGGGTCTGGGGCTCGATTTTGGAAGGATTTTTCAAGCGATCCCTGAGAATCGGGGTCACAATTATTGAAATTACCATGTGTTTTTGAAGGTTTTATGTTAAAATGTTGAAATGCCCATGTGTTTTTGGACCCTGACGTCACGATCTGCGTGAGGGGTGCCACCGATTTTTAGAATTGCGAGGATGTCCCGAGCGAAACGCCCAGAAAAATGGCGGACGCGTGCGCATTAATCGCCTCTGAGCTCTACTCCCTCGGAGAGGTGCGTATGATAATATATATATATATATATATATATACATATACATATATATATACACACACACATATGTGTCATGCTTTACAGACATGAGAAAACGACTCGGGTGGCTTCCAGAGAAGCCCCGAGCCACGTCTCCCTGCGCCAGCTCCCTGGCAGGGGCAGAGCTGTGCTGGCCCCCGGGGCCCACGAGCTGGGCGAGAACGCCCGGCTCGGGATCTCAAGGAGGGCCGCCGAGGGGTGCCGCCGAGGGCGCTCGCCGAGGGGGCCGCCGGGAGCCCCCGAGGGCGGCCGCCGAGGGCCTCGGCGGCAGAGAGGGGAGGGGATTCGAATGCCCACCCGCCCCCCGCCATCCATGCTCGCCAGCGACAGACGACGACGACGACGACGACGACGACGCCGACGCCGACGACGACGACGACGACGACGAAGACGACGCCGACGCCGAAGACGACGACGCCGACGACGACGACGACCTCCGAGCTTGGGCGGCGTCGCTTCCGCTCAGGTCGGCGACTCCGAAGGGCGTGGTTTCCAAATCGTGTGGTTTGCCACCCGCGCCTGGGGGAGGCGGGCGAGGACTTCGACGGAGATCTCCGCCGCGCCCCGACGAGGGCTTGGCAAACCTCTGGCGCAGCGTGGTGACCCCCCCCGAGCCACTACGGCGCCGATCGCAAACCACACCCCAGCGTCACCACATCCATCTTCGGGTGACCCAAAAGGGGGTCCAGCTGAAAGGGGGTGGCGCAATAGATTTGGGGCAATTGCATTGCAAACGTACTGCGCTGAAGAATTGTATTGCACTGCATTGCAAGTAATGCATTGCACGCGATAATCCAGCAATAAAGTTGCGCCCCGGCATGTACTGCACGCCCCAAGTGCACTGCAACCCCACGAGTCTACTGCACCAGATCCATGGCACCACCCCCCTGTCGCTGGACCCGTATTTGGGCCAACCCGGCACACACCCATCGCAATGGCCGATCGGGGGAACCGCCCCGCGGTCCTGCGGCCGCCGCGGCGGCCTCCATCCGCGGCGCGCGGGGCGGGCCGAGCCCCCCGCGCGCGGGCCTGAGCCGCGGCGGCCAGCGGGCCGTCGGCGGCCCGCCGGCGGCCCCTCTGGCGGCCCTCTGGGCGGCCCTCTGGGCGGCCCCTCGGCGGCCCCTCGGCGGCCCCTCCGGCGGCCCTCTCGGCGGCCCCTTCGGCGGCCCTCTCGGCGGCCCTCTCGGCGGCCTGCGGCCCTTCGGCGGCCTCTCGGCGGCCCTTCGGAAGGGCCCGGAGCAGCGAGGCTCGGGGTTCGGGGAGCGGGGCCCGAGGCCCGAGGCTCGAGGAGCGGGGCCGACGGTGGCAGGAGAAGCCGAGTTTCGAGGATCGCGGTTCGAGGACAGCGGCTTCTGTGCGTCTGTTGTCCGCCGTGGGCCACCGAGGGCCTCTGGGAAGCCCGCAGGAATAACGACAAAAAACACCCGAATGATGCTTGAGGTTCTGGGCTGGTCTAGGTTGCCCACGGATCCCCATTGGACGTCAGCGCGAGGCCAGGACGGCTCAAGAGGCCTCAAAGAGGGCCCCATGAAGCTCCAGAGAGAGCTTCAAGAGTTCAAAACTTGGGCCAAAGATGGCCCCAGGATGCCTCTGAGATGACCCGGGAGAAACCCAAGACGCCCCCGAGAGAACAAGAAGCATTGAGAAGCAACTGTTTTCAACGGGTTTGGCGTGTCCCATTTCCCCAAAATGTCAGAAGATCGCTTCAAGGCGGCCACCAATCCCGTGATTGCCCACGACGGCGCCCAGGTGGCCCCAGAAGGCCCAACGATGCCGCCCAAATCGCCCAGAGTGGCCCAACTCGGCCCCGAGATGGCCCAAAAAACGCCCTCAAGATGGGCCCCAGAGGACTCAAGGCAGTCCCGTCGCAGATGGCCCCAAAGGCCCTGAGATGTCCCGGAAAGGCCCCTATGATGGCCCAAAAAGTGTTCCGACATGACAAGAAGATGGCTCAACCTGAGGGGCCGGCACAGGGCGCCGCCCTTCAGATACACCGTCCCGTCCCGAGTCCCCTCCCCAGAAGTCCCTACAGGCGGTCCTCTTCACTTCGGGAAGCGCGCCCCCTTGAAAGACCAGGCCACCCCCCCCCGATGGGGCTGCCGCTCCGGCAGGAGCCCAGCCTTTTTGGAAAGGGATCGCCCTCCATCCGAGCTGCTCACACAGTGAAGCTGATGGTCCTGAAGTTTCAGGGAGTCCCAGACCAGAGCAGAGGCACTGCCCTCCACCTGCGCAACTGGTGGACCCTCTTGCAGCGGATGCCCACGGCACGGAAGGGCGGGAACCACATTGTGAGACCGACGTGCACTCCATCCGTGGGCCTGATGGAAGCGTCAAAGGCCAGGATCGCAGGCGGTGAGGACATCACGAAACGCCCAGCCCGTGGCCCGACCTCCAGAGACCTCCCTCATCCTCCCATCTTCTCCTCATCATTATCCTCCTCCACGGCCTCCTTCTCCTCCTCCTCCTCCTCCTCCTCCTCCTCCTCATCATCATCATCATCATCATCATCATCATCATCATCATCATCTTCATCATCATCATCATCATCATCATCATCATCATCATCATCATCATCATCATCATCATCATCATCATCATCATCATCATCATCATCATCATCATCATCATCATCATCATCATCATCATCATCATCATCATCATCATCATCATCAATCATCAATCATCATCACCATCATCATCATCATCATCATCATCATCATCATCATCATCATCATCATCATCATCATCATCATCATCCTATTCCTCCTCCTCCTCCTCCTCCTCCTCCGTCGCCTCCTCCTCTTCCTCCTCCTCCTCGTCCTCCTCCTCCTTTCCTCCTCCTCTTTCTCCTCCTCCTCCTTCTCCTCCTCCTCCTCCTC